TGTGTGCCAATTCGAATTGAATCTCAACAATCAACCAGCTTATGAGTGTCATGCGATAAAAGCTCATGATCATGACCTCATGATCATTTTCTTGACACCATGCTGCATACATTTCTTTGTTATTACCAGTGCGCACAGTTACTGCGCACTTTAGACCGTGACGGGGATGTTCTTGTTGCACGCAATAAGGTGAAATCCTACTCATAATGTTTGAGAAAGTTGGTCCTAAATCGCACTCCACTCATGGTCCCGAAGACGTTTCTGAAATGCATACCATATGTTTTTTATTCAACTATATCCACAATCATGATAAACCATACGACACGAATGGCGTGTTGATTCGCACATATTACGGCAGTTGAACCACGCGTTAGATATACGTTTTTGTAAGCAACTATTAATAATGCAATATATGCTATACCCTATTTCATAAACTTATTTGTCGCATGGTGCCTGTTTCCATTGTTCGTCTTGTGTTTGCTAAGATAAATTATTTATAAGTTTACTGAACATGTGCAAACGTCTATGAACACTTTAGTAGCATCTCTGTGTAACAAGGATATTGTTTGGTCATCTAATTTGTGACAACCCTGGAAAACATGTTTTATTAATTTATTTATATTTATTTTTCCATTGTCACACTTTTTTGTTTGATATTGTCATTCACTGTACATATGGTCTGAAATAAAGAATAATAAAAATAAGGTACGCCCACAGAGAAGTATGACTCAGATAAAAAAAAATGCTTTGAATTCTGTTGAACCAGCACGCCCTGAAATTGCTCTGCGCAAGATGTGTTGACATCTTGCTTAGATTTTTCTTCTGTCACATCGTCTGAATGTTCTAGCGCTTCAGGGAGTTTATCTTGACCTTTCTCATCGTACATTACTGCGCGAAGGCTATATCAGTATTGAGTAAGAAATCAATTTTGTTACTGGCTGAGCCTAGAAGTGCCCCAACGTTTGGTTTAGTTTTTAACTGGCCGTGAAACACCCCCCCCCCCACCAACAATCCAGGCAAGTAGCACCTAGGTTATATAATCTTTCAAGGCCTCCCGAGGCTTGAATGGATTACCAAACACTTTCTGTCAAGTCAAGTTGCCGGTACCATACACCGAATTAATGATTCCCTGTTCCTATGCCAATCTTTGAACAAACAGAATTGCACACAGATGGGGAGAATTAGACCATAGGGAACTGTGACAGGATCAGGAAAATATTATATATTGAGACCACCAACCGTTATAATGTAAGTGGATATTGTGATAAATTAGGTGTACAAGTTTTTTCTCGGTTTCTGTAAAGTATGTGATATTAATCTGCATTGATCGTACATATAAATATGCCAAATATCATAAAAATAGCGAATTTCAAATTGCATAATGTAGCTCATCTTTGTTGGAATTTAATTTCAAAATAAGTAAAGAAAAGACAAATCCTTTATAAATTAAACAAACATGAATTTATTCTTACACGATGTAACCATGACGTAATGTCTAATTTGTCTTGCCATTAGTAATACATTAACTGTTAATTTACTTCAACTAAGAAAAACGTCAAAATTATAAAATAGTATAACAGAGTAAGATAAAATCAATATCAAGATGCAATTTTAGATATGGTATCCCTTGAACACTTCTAAACTAAGTAATCGCGCAAACGTATTCACACGATTCACCAGAAAACAATTGTTCTAACTAGTTTTTCGGGTTGACAGGCAAGTATTTGAAACACTACATGTAATCACGGTTATAAATGACAACACAAGATGTAACTAAAAATTAACTTTAAATTTCATTGACCACATCTCCGAACAATACACAAGTAAAAAATATAAACATAACAGCATAAATGTGAATGCTTCATAATTCTACCCCAAGTCATTATATAGTTTCATAACCAGTACTGAAAATACACTATCACACTTGTTTAACTTTATGTTTAATGGAACCACCACCACAGTATGTATGGATGTTCTTTAATGACCAATGCAAAGAATGATTCATTTGAAGTCAAAGTCAAAATATGAAACTGAGACACTTAATATTTTGAAAGATCATGATTGAAATATGAGTATCTGCGTAAATATATATGCAAGGCTCAACAACTATGGAGTTTTCAATGACAAATTTCACATATGTAGAGTACCAGAACAGTTCTATCCTGGCCACAATTAATTAAATTTCAGAATTTGTAAAGTTGTGCACATCCTAATACAGAGGAGAGTCTCAAAATACATGACTTGTTCCACAGTGCCCTTGGATAAACAATGTACGTTTACGAATAAACAACCAATATCACTGTGGTGTGGGATTACATGAATTTAATGTCGAATGATAGATTTGTGCAATTACTCGTATTATGTTGTATATTTATGATAGTACAATTTATGGCTTTAGTTGTTGCCGTACACATTGTTTAATAAAGTTTAGCAGATAAACATCAAAGTGACATTTATATATGTCCATCATCTAGTAGTTACTGTAACCAAAGTGTTCACACATGAAGTAAATTACTTGATTCCTTTCGCTGCCAGTTCTTCCCTTACTCGAAATAGATATGTGGGGTCAGGATAGCCATGTCTGTGAAAAAAAACACAATACAAGTATTAGGCAAAAAAAAATTGTTTTGTTTCCCTCAGCGACCGACCGAAAAATATGAAATATCGGGTCGCGTTTTTTTTTTTTTTTTTTTTAATAGACCCAAATATTAATAATCAATTTTTCCATTTTTCGACTTGAGGGCAACATAAGTTTTTTTTTGGTCTTACTGAAACTCAAAGCGAAATTATAGAATATATACATAACTATACAACGTCTATTCGAATCTTACAAGACTGAAGTATGCCTGAATATCTACTTTATTTCCCTCGTATGAAATTATGATCCTAATAATAATCATCTGTTAGACAGTATGTTATAAAACATTTTCTTGTTTTACCATACAAATAATTTAAAGCATTGCGTCATCTAAAGCAGCATAGCACATATCAAAAATGAATCTCAGACAATGAACACAGATACTCTACAGTACAGTGATCTGCAATACTAAAACAATTTGTTTAGGTCATGGCATTGCAAACACAAATAACATACAATAATGCTTTATACATACATAAATACATACATCATAATGATTGACCAAATTAACTGCCATGATTGTGATTAGGACTTACAACGCACCCACTGACTGCTTGTATAACAAAACACATGAAGTTTGCCATATAGCTTGCTTGGGGCAATCGCATATTCCAACACTTGGGTCAAACCTTGGTTAACCCAAACCTGAACCACCCGAATAAAATTTGAATAGACAGTGCGTTCCAGGACGGCCTATGAATTTTCATAAAAACAGCGTTTCAAACAGATTTCATGCAAGCTGTTGTTCATGTTTAGGATTAACAGTTATCTTTACATATATTTGTCAAGACCAGATAATTGTCGCTAAAATGTGTCGGTTTATTTGTGTGCAAGCTTCATGTTATAAAGAGGGGGGGCAAGGGTTATTTTCGTTCAACGTAATTGCAATATTTTTTTGTTCGTACAACGTAAATAAAAAAAAAAAATTCCGCAATTCTGTAATCACAGGCTAGACGTACAACGTAATCAATCAAATATTTTTTTCGTACACTGTAAAAATGTGTCATTTTTCTCGTACGTACAAAAATTCAAATCCAAATATAAAAATCGTAAAGAATAATCCAGGGAAATTACATTTTAGAAACTGTAAAACGACTAGATGACACAATTCACTACAAAATTGAATGTCAAGACGTAAAAGGCCCTCTAACCGAATGAAGAGCATTACGAGGGTAATATGCGCATGCGTCTCTTCACACGGCGCAGCAATGGTGGAGAATTTGAGTCGGAGAACTCTTCGGACCATTCAATGTTACATTTGTTAACACTGTAAACTGTAAAAACGTCTTTTTTTTCTTCGTAAATTGTGAAAAGCCCTTTTTATTTCCTGTAAAACCGTACCAGCTACCCTCCTTGCCTCCCCTCTATAAAAGATGCTGAATTGTTCGAATTACGAACATCGAGTTACCAAAATGACCATGCCGATATTTTAGAAACCACGTCCACTTTTGTGAGACCTCGTCCAAATTGCAACTCGGTGTTCAATTAACAGAACTTCGAGTTACGGGTAATATACATTTTTGTTGAACGTCCACATTTAAGAACTAAAACTTTAAATAACAGTTAACCGAATTACGGGAGATAAACATAGAGAAGAAACATGTTAACAAATATTTGATTTTGTAAAACAGTTATGCAATAGAAAATTAAGAGGGCGTTGGCGGGCTGTATCTTTTTAATACAACACTGTGCTAACATCAACCGTAAACCACTCCTGTTTTCAAGCATCACACTATTTTTTTTCAAATTGTATGATTATATTGTTGGACTTTTCATTAATTTCACTGGGAAGATTGTTTTAAAGATTTTTTTTCAGATTGCATCTATCTTATCTACTCTAAGTTTTGGTTGATTTTAAATCACTTTTACGTGTGATGGTGACAGTATCCATGCAGAATTGAAGAAATGGAGGACTTCACAATTTAAACTTAATTTGTAAAGAGTGATTAACACCATTATTGAGACTGGTGTAACCTCCAGTTGAATACAATACCAGTCTGTGTAATGAACTGTTAATGTGTGAAATTAATGTAATGCTGGGATACATCCTGTTACTTGGATACTGTAGACTTAATGTTAGGACCTCAGAAGGGGCGTAGGCTGTCAACACACATTTGAAATGTATACTAACCTGGCAGCTCCTCCTGTTCTACTTGTTTTATGATGGACATCATTCCATACAACGCAGTTATCCATCCCAGTAGTCACTGACTTCCCAATAGTAAATAACAAACCACTATCAAACGCCCTCTTCAGTAGATTTAAAATTTCTTTTCCATCTCTATCAGCTGGTAGATAGGCTCGTCTACTTGTACCAGAGTAATTTTGTCCTGGGTTTGGGTGGTTTTTCTAAAGTAAAAAAAAATGTAAACTCATAATAATATCAAACATAATTTCATGTGTGCCATGATTGCGAGGACAACTGTTTTTGGGTGTTTTTTCTGCATCAGTTATACAAAAATATAATTTGAATGAAAATGTTGTCATTGAGATTACTCTAGATGTTGTGGGATAAGATCAAATTATTACTTTGTTTCAAAATACTATGAATGACTGCAGCGACTGTCTACAGTCAGGACATATTTGTCCCAACATATTTGTCTAGACTGAAGACAAAATTCTGCAGGCAATATTTTGAAAAAAAATAGGTAATCCGTTGTTCTGATCTACCCATAGCAATTTAAAATACCCCAAAGTTTGCCCTAGTGCTCAATTTTCTTATATGATATTTTAAATGATTACCTCCTGTACTCCACTTGGAAAACTATAGTCAATAACTATAGTACCCTTGCCATTATAGCCTGGCAAATGGTCCTTCATTCTGAAATCCACATCCATTTCACCATTGGGTTGGTTTCCTCGCCTAATGAGTACTACTGCAGTGCAGAATGGGCACTTGCCATCGTTTTCAAAATGGCGATCAAAACAGTCAACACAAATAGTATTTTTGCAACATTTCATTGATTTCAGTGAAGTATTGTCTTCAGCACATATGTCACAATCTCCTTGTTTCTGTGTTGAAATAGCAATGTCGGACGCAAGACTTGATGGAATGATTTCACCAGTGGAGTCAGCCCCAGACTCTTCAGAGTTTTGTTCAGTGACATAATAGGGATTTGTGTGATGAGTATGGGGATGTTCATCACCACGAGTTTGGAGAAGTTCATCACCATGACGAGTTTGGAGAAGTTCATCACCACGACGAGTTTGGGGATGTTCATCACTACGACGATGAGTTTGAAGATCTTCATCACCATGACGAGTTTGGAGAAGTTCATCACCATGACGAGTTTGGGGATGTTCATCACCACGACGAGTTTGGAGAAGTTCATCACCATGACGAGTTTGGGGATGTTCATCACCACGACGAGTTTGGGGATGTTCATCACTACGACGATGAGTTTGAAGATCTTCATCACCATGACGAGTTTGGAGAAGTTCATCACCATGACGAGTTTGGGGATGTTCATCACCACGACGAGTTTGGGGATGTTCATCACTACGACGATGAGTTTGAAGATCTTCATCACCATGACGAGTTTGTGGATGTTCATCACCACGACGAGTTTGGGGATGTTCAACACTACGGCGAGTTTGGGGATGTTCATCACCATGAAGAATTTGGGTTTGCTCATCACCATCACGAATTTGCAGTTGTTCGTGACCATGTTTACTTTGTGATCGTTCATCCCAAAACTTCTGTTGGTTCCCATCAAGAAGTCTTCCATATGCATGAGAAGCTTCAGCATGTCTATCATTTGCCTTCTCATCAGAAAGAGCACCACTAAACTCTAAAATAAACTCTCCTGCCGCATCTTCATCGATATGGAGTATTTGAACATGTTTAAGCTTGTCATTATCACTGTATGTGGATGAAAACTGTTTCACGACATTGTGAAACACACGTGCATTGACATCTAATGGCATCCCATATATACCTAGAGAATCAAATAATGAGAAATATTCAGGAGTGACTATAATTACTTATACACCATATTTCTGGATAGTCAACAGATTATAGAACATTGTAATTTGCAGCAATGACGAAAGTAGCCAAATTTGTATATGAAAAACAAATTTTACTCTTTTCAGTGATTACAAAAATGAAATAAAACATTTCTGAGAATAATGTACAATATCGTATGAAATAATTGTAGGGACTTTGTGATCTGAAATAAGCACGGATGCAGAAATATCAACAAGGACCATGTTTCCAATGTTGATATCTTTACAACCATGAGATATTTATATGTACTTTACCTGCACCAATTGCTGGCAGTGTCAATGATGGCATCTTCATCATACAAGACGCATATTGTAATATATTTAACAGCATTGTGTGTAGTACTTCGACACAGAGCGCTTGGTATTCCTTACCAACTCCCCAGACTGGAGCAACAGCATGAATGACATACTGGCAAGGTAGTTTCCCACCAGATGTTGTACAATGTTCACCCACCCTCAATTCACCGTGCCGTTTTATATAGTCCTTGCAATCTTGTGTTATCTGCTTACCACCGGCTTTGGCGATTGCAGAGGCTACTCCACCAGCATGGTCCAGTTTAGCATTTGCAGCATTCACCATCACATCTGTTTTCACTCTTGTAATGTCCCCCATGGCCACGGATATTTCCACGCCTTCTTTTGTAAAGTATGACAGATATAAATCTTGTAAGCATTTGCCCACGTCGATCTGAAACTCATTCACAGTTTTAATGTTTTTGCCATATTTTGCACCTTGTTCATGTTCAAATTCTTTATTCAGAGGATGTCTTGCTTTCTTCTCAGTAGCATTTCCACTGTCATCACTGGGTCTTGCATTGTTTGAAGCATCAGTAAGAGAGTCAGTTCTTTTAGACCTGGCATCATCAAGCTCTTTAATTGATGATGGGTCATGTAGTTTGTCACCATCAAATTTACACCCAATTGGTGGAATGCTGTCTTTACCCTTGCGTTTCTCTCCAATACGGCCCTTAGTACCAGAACAAATCGATTTCATACTCCCAGTTATTGATGCACTACATCCTGCATCTGGGATGGTTCCTGCTTTGTGGTCAGCAAGAGAAGTATTGATGTGGTGTGTATCTTGTAACGATGGGTTACTGTCATGTGCTGTGTTGTCATCAAATTCAAAGCCAATTGGTGGAATGCTGCCATTACCTTTAATGCTAGAAGAATGTGATTTCATATTCCCAGTGATTGATGCATTACTTCCTGCATTTGAGATGGTTCCTGCTTTGCGGTCAGCAAGAGAAGAAGTATCGACGTGGTGTTTATCTTGTGCAGCAAGTCTCAGGGTTGTCTCAGCCTTCTCTATACATGCCAGTGAACTTGCCTCAACAAAACGCTTTCCAGAATTACAGAAATTAGCTGTGTCACCAACTTCTCTTTCTATGTCCTCAAAATCCTCATCAGTCAGCTTTTCAGTAACCCATGACGACACATAAGATTTCAACTGACAAAAGACCTGTTGAGACATTATTTATATATTTAATAGATAAATGCAATATATGCATGTCAAGTGTTCCACAAGCAACAATATTTGAGGTGTCCTACTACATCACACACATACAAAGTTAATTCAAATAAATGTATTACCAACCTGACTGTTTGTTTTGCTTGTTGCACCAACTGCAAATAAAAGTATCTAGGTTATTGGGAGCAGCATCTTATACACAGTATTTAAAGAGAGGAGTTCTCAACAGGGTGACCCCAGTTTGGACAATCGTCACTGCTATATCATCAATGTAAATAAAGATCACCAATAATTTTTTTTACTTGTAGTAAATCCTATATTAAGTAAAATGTTAGACAGACTACCTGTACTGCTCTGCAATCCTTGTGAGTTTTGCAATTTCTGTGATTTTTTTATCTTTTTTGACTCCCCCCTTTTCCTTATGACTCCAGTCTGTTTCTTAACAACTTTCATGAATTCCACTTCAAAATCACGAAGCTGCGGGAGAGAGCTAGTCACAACAACTGTACTGTTTGAAGTAGTTTTAATTTTTACACCAGTCCTCTGCAAGTAGTCAGCCATCTCTTTTTTAAATGTGTGCATATGATCTGTGTACTTATCATCAACATATCCCTGACTTTTTCCCAGGGCCTGTAAAAATAACACAACACATTCACATATGGAATTATAAACTATAGATTCCATATCTACACTGTTAAAAGAGAACACCAGTATTATGTACTAGTTACAAATGCGAATGTTGTATAAAAACAATTGTACACAGAAACACTTGTATTAATCATTCCAGTAACATTTCACACTCATAATAAACAATATATTATTTATAATATAATATTATAAAATCATACCAAATGCATCATTTCAGAGTTAGCAGCAGTTTCCTCAAGATGGGTTGTCTCCTCATCTAACAAACGAGCAATAGAAAACATTTGAGAAACCCAGTGGTTGTACATCAATAAACATTGAAGAGTTTGATGAATTACTAAAATAGTAATAAATAAAAATTTTAACAAATTAACCCCTTTAAGTGAGGCTCTTAATTTTGATTTCAAAATATAGTTTTAAAATGTTATATCATACATATCTTCAAATTATAACTTCAATACACATTGTGGTCACATCCGGGGGGAGGGGGTCACTGGCCATTCAGTTTGGTACAGGTGTGCGGCCGGGAAGTAAAACCTAAGACCCCATCATAGACAATTTCCACCTCAAAAACTATACCCCATTATAAACCAAATGGTGATTTTGTATATACCACCAGAGACCAAATTATCACTAAATTTATTCAGTTATAGGTTGAATCTACTCATCATCCAGACTCAATAAAAGTACTAAAACTTGGGTAAATACATACATTAAAAAACAGGCCTCATTGCCTGGCAGCAAACCTGATATTGAACCTAAAGGCAAGGGAATCTATACCCCATTCTAAACCAAACAGCAAAAAATTACGAACCCAAAGGGCGGCACGTCCCTATAATGTGAATTGCAATAAGTGGGGGGGTAACATGTGTAAAATACTGCCCACAGAGGAGCCACACATTGTACATGGACATGTGGGCGCCAATAATTGAAATCCCTGTTGTTAGATTTTGTATGTGTTGGATCAACACATACAGTGCTGTGGTACTTGACGGTATACTACTCTCGCTACGCTATTAATCAAACAATACATGTACTTACCATCCAGAGGGGGTTGTCCATGGTCTTTCATGCTGGCCATTATTGAATACTAATGTGTCATTAGTATATACTTAATATAAAATATAAAAACAAAGTATTCAGTCAACATTGTATATAAGCATGGTTAGAATAGAATAGAATAGTTGCGTGATCCAGTGTCAATTTAGGAGCTGGGCAATTTGGATTCAACCACGCTCTATTCCGATTTGCAGTCTCACCCCCAGCAACAAGGACCACTGTTCTGGAGCAAAATAAATATGAGTGAAAGAGCAACCCTGGGATATTACCGGCGGTTCAGGGGCTCTGTGATTTTGACGTCTATATTACCCCACATACAAATAATAATACAACTAGAACTACAGCTGCCATGAAAGTGGGAATTATATTAACTGTCGGATTGTGTTTATATTCTGTAGCGACGAAGCCCTTGAGCAAGCCCCCATTGTGATATCATGGTCATACATAAACTTAATTGATCCCTACATTTGGCATTTACATGTCCCATACATGTACATGAAGCCTAGGTACAGTTAGCCCTGCGTAC